ATATATATATATATAAAGAAGCCCGGCAATCATAAGCACACCAAGATATTAAAAAATAAAATTAGTTGCTTAAATAATGCTAAAAAATAGTACTGAAAATGCTAAATTTCGTCACTTGATATCAATGTAGCCTGGAAGTACGAAAATAAGAACCTATGACTTCTTTGTAAATTATCCCTTTGTTGTTACTAGTTTTTCGTGCAAAATTCTCTAAAGTGGTGTTATCTGTGTTGTTATACTGAAAATCTTTTCATAAGCATAAAATTATATTATTTCTACACTTTTTTTGGTGCTTATTTTAATTTTAGAATAATTGGTAATAATTGGCAGTGAACGATGTCATGAAAATATGGTAAGATGAAAAGCGCTCGTATGATCAATCAACTTTCGTGGCACCTCAGAAAGAGGTTAACATTAATGCTCAATTCGTCAGTATTCCTGCGAAGTAATGTAGTCGAGTTCGATTGAGTGTACTCGTAATATGAGACAACCGTTAGCGGTATGAAGGGCTGGAATTGATTGCGATGATGTTCCGTGAATTATTTTTCCATCAGATGACTCGGCTTCAAAACATGATTGGAAAGTGTCAATAGAATTTTTTAAAATTCAAAAATGCTGTCATTAATGCATAAAGAGACATTTCTAGGCTCTAACAATGACATTCGTATTCTAGGCACTATTGAACTAGTTGTGCTACTAGAGCTCCTGCTTTTTCGAATTATTGATTTTTTACTATTGTCCATATATTTAGTTTAAATATCCATATCAATGTAAAAGGGTCATGGTACAAAAAAATGTAATCCAGATAAGTGAGGAGTTCATCAAATAATTATTTTGTCAACAACCAATCAAAGTATGTCAAAGTGAATATGTAAAGAAGTACAAGTTAGTTATATCCTTTCAGGGGACGGGTATTCAATGGAAGTCATCCATTCCTACGCTAATGCCGGAGTTTGAAAAATTTTCATGTCCGCTCTGAGAACTGGTGTCATTTGTTGGTGGAGTAGAGAACCTATCACTCATACGTTTCGTCACATTTTTGTTTTCCGTATAAAAGAAAATATTTTGTCGAATTGCTCCGTCAATGAAAGTATCTACCACAATTTTTTTCTTCTTTCCAATATCTTTCTTGTTGGAATGGAAACTGAAAAGACACCTTTATTTGAAGATAAAAATAATTAAATTTACCGTGAATGTAGATAAACAAACCACTTCACTGTCAACTGTGAAACGTTTTCATTATATGTTTTTAAGGTCTTAAAGTCTATAATTCAAGATCTATTAAAGGTTTCTCGGATATTTTTACTGAGAAAACTGCCGGACATGAAACATGACATAGTAGAGGCAATAATGCACAATAATCACTGTTTTTTCAAAACAAAGTTCATTACCACGTCCATGTAGTACAAATCTAAGTTAAGAATCAGCATTGAAGCAGAGATCGTACAAGACGATTGCCGCACATTCAGGAAGTCAGAATAAATTGAGTGATCTGACTAATCAGGTGGAGTGAATTTGAGGCTTACTCCCCATCCCAGAGTCTTTTACTGTGAAGGGCGGATCCAAAAATTGTCCAGGGGATGCCAATTACGTCTTTTGCCATAAAGACTTTGACAAATAACCCGACTTCTAGGTTCATATTATTCTTATGTATAGTTATAAGTACAATAGTTACATTTTTATGTCACAACGTCGAATGAAAGTCGAAAAAAATCATAAAATGTATATAAAATCTCCACTACAAGTACTAATGGAAAGGGGGGCATTGCCCCTGACCCCTCCCCGCGCTTGTTCATTGTACGCTTTTACTTTATTTTACGTGTCGAAGATAAGATTAGGTGATTTATGTTGTTTGTTATTTGCGGGCCCTCTGGAGCTGCGCGGGGCAGTAACAAACAGCAGCGATGTGACGCGGAGGTGCGCGTGCGCGTGTGCAGGGAGAACATGTACGGGCGCAAGTACCAGTGGATCATCATGGGCACGTACTCGGAGGAGTGGTGGGCGCACGAGGACGAGGACGCCAACTGCAGCACGGCGCACGTGGCCGCGGCGCTGGAGGGCTGCATCCTCACCGACCTGCTGCCGCTCTCCACCAACGGCGAGATCACCGTCTCCGGCATCGTGAGTACTCCTCCGCCTTTTGCCTCTAGAGCGGGCAGCGTACGGGATTGCTAGCGGGGAGGCTGCACTGGCAGTGCTCGGCACCCGACTTTTCGATTTCCGTATGCAGTCGCAGAAAGGCAGAGTTTCGGGTTGCCTTGGAAACCCACCTCCGACGCGGGTCTGGGGACCTTAGCGAGCAGGCGCGCCTCGCGGGCGGTCCCCTGATACGCCGGGGGTGTGACTCTCAGTTTATTGTATCCGAACTATCTGATTGGGCAAAAGTGAGATTTCGTTCGGGCGGGATACTGTGTGATTTAATTTTGACGGGCATTTGACAGGGTTCTTCTGCATACCACTAGAGTGACATGGCTTCTGTGAATTTTCCGCTCTTCGAAAACCCACGGGTCGGGATCGAACCCGCTCGCTGGGGCTTCAGAGGACAGTAAGCTAATCCCTCACCCACCACCTCCACCACCACCATCCCTCACCTCACCCACCTCTGTATTCTATACCTGCTCATACCTGTTCATTTGAAACTTGTAGCGCCTTATCAATTTACCGATCGGAAAATTTCCGTTAAATTACCTAAACTGTTTGCTGATGGCACTGAGCAACCCATGAAGTGTACATGTTCGATAATAGATCATTGGCAGAATGAACCAATAATGATTTGGAATTATCGCAAATCTCAACCTATTTTTGTTTTATTGAGTTTGTACAACGAACTGCAAAGATCTTTCATTTGAAATTGGCAAAATTACTTTCCAAAAGAATAGCAATTTCTTCCACAATTAACTGATATTATTAATGCAAATAAAAACAAACGAAAATATGTTTTTCGCTTTGGATAATGTTAGATCAATTACTTCTTATGGGTTTTTCTTTCTTTGCGTTTCTTTCTGTTCCAGACAATTATGCTCCTCTTTTGTATTTAAATTTTTCTGAGAATCTGAGCTGCTCATTTTGAATATTTTATTTCTTTATTGTTCTTTTTTTCAATTAATTTATTTTTAATTAATTTTATTCTTAGTTCTATTTAAAAAGATATCAAATATTTGTTCAGTTAATCTGTTATTAAAGAAATTGCCATAGAAGTAATTATACTCTTTCTTATTGTATTAGTCTGTATGTTTTTATTTCCTAAATTCTCAAATTTCTCCTTTTAAGAATTCTGGAAAATTTTTCTCAGAATTTTAGACAATCTTGGCAAATGCAATCCACAACTCTCAAATTAGTTCTCTGACATTTTCATTATTATGAGTTTATAACTACAAGTATACGTGCTTAAATTCTAGTTTCAAAGAAATGTAAAGCGTTCTGGTAACAATTTTTGTTGAAATTCTCATACGTGAAAATATATTAAAGCTGTTTAGTTTGTCAGAGGAACAAAAATTTGGAAGAGTTCTTACATAAGAAAATAGTTATTTATAATACTAGTGGCAGAGATATATTTTATTTCGCGAGTAGGAAATTTTACGATGTGAAGCCGATGGGCTGAGGCATACATTTTTTTATACAACCTTTTATTTTATTGTAACTCAAACTTCACTGGTACAGTCTATTTAATTGGGTACCAAGTTACGTTACAATGAGTTGTAGCTGTTCGGCGAAAGTAGTTTGTTTTCTTTGTTACATTCACAATTTTATCCCAAGAATTGTAAACCGTCTCACTTTTAGCACTAGTGAATTGAGCCCGCTGTGTGTGCCCTAAAAATCACCGCTCTTTTTAATGATCGTCAAAAAAATTTTTGGGGGGTAAAATTCGTAGCGTGAATTCCACAGCTTTTTATTTTGTAAAAGCTATCCAGAACCTTCTTTTAAGATATACGTATTTTATTGATAATTTTGGATTATTTGACCCTAGTTAGAAAAAATTTAAAAACTTTTTTGGCAAATGATAAAAATAACAGAAGAGTCAACAAATGAGCATTCATTTTAGGTTAATTAAAAATATTTGGTAAATGATAAAAACAACAGAAGTGGAAATAATTTGGTAAATGCTGCAATGCCCAATAAATGATTTGCCCTTTAAATTCAAGAAATCAGTTCTTTCAGAATATCATTGGTGCCCTGCTGTGATCTGCGTTTGTATTATGATAATATTAACGTGATTGGAATCTTCGAAATAGTCAAAATGAATTTGATCTTGCGTGCGATCGAGTAAATACCGTACGCGCAATACTCTCAAAAGAAGTGGTCAGAAACAGATCGACTGTGATTTCTAGGGCACCGTCACTCTTTCACACTCGAAGAACAAGCATTGCTTTGGATTAAACACAAAGGTAAATGTGATTGGAATGTTTAATTTTAAACATTCAACAAGGCACTTCACAGGTTTTATGTCATATGCCTTAAGACCAACTATTCACGTATTTAAGAATAAATGTTAAAAACTTCTAGGGCGAATAAATGTTAAAACCTTCTAAGGCTTCATGGAGTGTTAGGAATATTTACATTTGGCTTATGAACGTATAGTGGGGAATTGCATATAAAATATTTATATGCATTATTACATGTGACCTTTCCTCCTGATTGTAATCGAAGCCCGTATGCACAATGTTAGGAAGGTATATCAAATCTCCTTGACTGCGTCAGAACGTAGCAGAAGTTGCTTCAAAATCATGAAAAAATGTCATATGTATAGCACACATGTAGCTCGGCTCTATGTAATTTCACCCGATATGTTCATCGGCAGAAATAGATGATTTTGGAGTCCTTTACTTGCCCTAAGGTTTGTTACATTTATTGTGATATACTCTGTATATCAACACCAGTTACTGCTAAGGGCACTTGCTCTCGATCACACTAATAATTGTTAGGTCAGAAATATGCAGTGGCCGAAAGATTAGAATTCAGTGCTGCCGACCTGTCATATGCTGCTCGGTAGTCGTGCTCTTTAGATTATATAGATTCAACCACCTGTTTACATATTCTGGAAGTTTCCAGTAAGTTCTTACAAAATAATATTACGCAATACTCTTTCAGAGTTTTTTGGAACTAACACATTGAATTATTAGGATCCTACGTTTGGGTGAAAATAACATTTTCATAGACATTTTAAGTTTATGTGTTTTTAAAGTCGCGAAGCAGTATTTTGAATTAGGAATCGGAATAAAATGTAGGTATGGAAAGTTAGAGAGAATACAATTAAGAAGTTATCAGTGGTCTGGGCGCAGCGGAGACGCCGTGGGTGGTGCCGTCCAGAGGTGTTGGTGGGCAGAGCGTGTTGGTCTCATGGGCAGGCTTACAGATCTCTCGTATGGTCCATCCCATTGATTCAAGATATCTCCAACAAGCGTGGGATATCCGGAAAGTAACGACAAGCTGCGAGTCCCCGAAGAGACTACAGGTGTCTTGTGATGAGAAAAAATCCCGAGAAATATAAGGGACAGTTCGCCACACATCTCCCTTTTCTGTCAATAATTTTCTAAGAGGTCTCATACAATGTGTGCCTTCGCTGGTTTCGAGAGGTAGCAAACGGATGTGTTCTGAGATATCAAGAAGTAATGTTAAGAAAAAATTTTAAAAAAATTAGTACTGCTTTTTCAAACAATACATAATTTTCCAAGTGATATTGTAGTTTTTGCAGTAATAACAACTACATACATTTCATTGCCCTACATTTCCTTATCAGTCTTCAACACCTCGGCCTCCCATTACGCCGCTCTTCCACAACCTGAGCTGCCGGCAGGCGCAGGGTAACACCTTTGCCACTGCAGGTGTCTGACCGGATGGTCCTAGCGGTCGGTTCACGTCGGTGGCAGATTTTCCACACTAGCCAGAGAGCTAGGTGTAAAAAATTGATTGTAAATTTTTTGTTATAAATTAAAAAAAATACCCGCATTCTGGAGGAGAATCCATCTGGCTGTATTCCGTGGGAAGTTCGATTAATACTAGCCGAATGCTGGAGCAATACCCTACTTTGCTTCCTTTAACACGCACATTTACCTTACTTGCACTCTCCTACCGCAAATGTCGGGAGACCCATCGGGAGGATACATCTGATCCCCTGCCTGGGGCGCTGCCTCGCTCTTGGAAATACCTGGGATGGGAAAAACTCAAACCGTCAAATAGGTCAACGGCAGATCTTATGTTTCAACAGGGCAGGAACATCATCGCATCTCTGGATATAATACGCACTTCACATGCTAACCCGCACGCACTACACCGGTCTAATTACCATAGCAGTTCACGCTTCCGGGAACTCAAGATAATCAATCATGCACCACCAGACCGGGGGAGGTGGCTTAGAACATCTGCTGTTCCTGCAGTGCCTCTGACCGGGCGATCCTAGGTTCATACTCCTGGCAGTAACAGGATTTCCTATACAAGCTTGTCAACTAGGTCCAATTCAGCTGGTGTGTGCAGAAGAATTCTAACAGCCGACTGCTCTTATCGGTTAGTTTTCCGATCAGGCGAATGGCGGAAGCTAACAAAGAGCCACGGACCGCGCGATCATTCCCTTCTCTTTCTTGTCCTATCCTCTCGCTTTACATAGCTTACACTAACATGCAGTACACTAGCACATACCGGGAGACCGGTTGGGAACCTCAAATTGTCTGCGGCTGGAGCGGTGCCTCGCAGGATCGGAATGGAAAGATCACCGCCACCTCCTGAGGAAAAAAAACTACTTCCGGGATGACTTCAGTAGTTGTTGCGCCTGGAATCACTAACAACCAACCAACCTCCTTCTGCATCCGTGCCTGCCCGTTGGCTGCTACCCGACTAAGGTGTGAGTGCATCCCTTTGGCGGTCGCGCGTTGAAAACGGCGCAAGTCCCGCCCGGGCCCGTAGAGGCTTTGTGAAATATTCCGGGAATCCCGTCCGAGGCGGCCGTTCGCCGTTCGCCGTTCGCCGTTCGCCGTTCGCCGCTCGCCGTTCGCCGCTCGCCGCTCGCCGCCTGACGTTTGGGGATATTGACGTCCGGATTATTCCGGCGCGCGCAGCACTGCTGTAAAATCACGTATCGGCATTATCGCACGTGACGCGCATGTGCGAACCTTTCATGCTAATGCCGG